TTCATCAACTTCGAAGAGAAACAATTAGTTTCCCATCATATGATTACTTTGTCCGTTATCTAAACACTACACATCACTATCTTGTGATTCATATCGAAATGGTATCACTTTTTCTTCATTTAAGAACATGGTCTCGTGTACAAATACGGTCACATCATTATCGTCACTTTCGATAAAATTACTTTCTTGTAATTTTTGGATTCAATCCGGACATTGATATGCGAAGTGGCCTGCTTTATCACACCGATAAAAAATAAGTTTGGATCGGTCCTTCTTGGTTTTATTCTTTTTTGAGTCAGGATTATTGGACTGTTTAAACCCTTTTTCCATCCCCTTTCCTTTCGACCCACCATGAGAACCAAACAAACCACCACTACATCGCCAGACGATTTCACGAACATAACCCTCGTCCGATTTCCATCGTTGACGTCCTCTTCCTTGATTCGCTCCTCATATGCCTTGAGCCTTCCAACCACATCCTCGAAGCCCATATTTTTTAGGTCTAATACATATTTCAACGGAGCCACTATGTGAATAAACTTCGCTCTCGTTAATGATTTGAAAAACTTCTTCACAAGCTTAGTCTCATCAATAACTTCTAGGGTTGCCGATTTTGAGGCTAATCTGGATAACTTTCCTGCCAAATTGTTAATTGGTCGAATTCTGCCATCAGGGTTTGTAACCTAGCCTCCTTCACGCGGTCAACAGCCACGTGCCTAGCTTTGATTGCATCCTACAATGCCTTTGAGTAATTCACATCTCCGATTTGCATGATAGAAGTCTCTAGGGTCACTTGATACAACAACTTTATTGCCAGGTAGTCCTTTTCTTCATCTCCTTTGTTCTTGGATCGATTACAGTCCATGATTTATAAATTCGTAAGACAAGCTTCATTCTCGGTGCCCATACGGTGTAGTTTGTCAAATTGAGCATGGGATAGGCAACGACGGTCAATCCTACCTCCTTTGCTTTTACTAGAGCACCTCCTCCTTCTAACCCTGTATTTGGCATGTTGACCGAATCGTCAACAGACAAGTATTTGATCTCAAAGATTTCAACACTCGAGCTCTGATACCAATTCAAGATTAGAATATGTAAACAAAATTAAATTAACAAAAAAGTTGTTTGATTATTATGATAAAATTAAAACTTACGATGTTTGCAATGTCTCTCTATTGATCATAACTCGATTCTTGACAATGTATATATAGTCCTAATTATTGACTTGTAACTTAGAATTAGGAAACTAGCTATTGACCGACTTGCCATAAACTAGGTTGCTTGTTCTCCAAGTGTTTGGTATCGACGACTTAGGATGCCAACAATAGTCATTGGTAGTATAATGTTCTTAATATGGTGTACTAGATACGACGTGGCTTATGTTGTAAGTAGACTAAGAATATGTACTAGTAATCCAAATGCAAAGCATTAGAAACATATGACTAGGATTCCTAGATATTTAAGTTTGCTTATGGTCAGTATCTAAATGTTATTGAAGGATAAAATGATGCAAATTGGATATCTGACACAAAAGATTCTAGATCAACCAGTGAATATGTATTTATTGTTTGTGGTGTTGCTATATCGTGGAAGTCCTCCAATCAGAAAGGTACAACAAGATATACAATGGAATGTGAGTTTATCACCCAGATAAATATGGCGAATAGGCAGCATGGATACACTAATTTGTGGAAGACATTCCAAAATAGCCTAAGTTAATGTTTTTCATATGTAGCACTATCAACAATTGGCTTAGCACACATTGTGATGTATAATGGTAAGTCTACACATATTCTTTGTAGACATAATACCATTAGGAGATTACTCTCAACTAAAATATCATTGTTTACTATGTGATGTCTAAGGATAACAATGCAAAAGAGAGTTAGTTAGTAAGTCAACTACAAGATTGAGAATAAAACCCTTAAATAAACGAGTTCATATGAAGGAAACCTAACCAATAAGACTTGAGATCCCAAGATCTAGGTTCAATAGACAAACCTAATTGAGTTCGACAGTTCTCGTGATTGTATCCTATGAAACAAACGCTTGTGTGAGTCGTATTTGTTTCAAGGAAACCGTTTTAAAACATGCCTCAACTTTTCATTATATTTCCTATTTGATTTTCTTTATACCCGAGTACAGTTTCCTATATTTTCTAACACCTCACAATCTAAAATTATAACCATGACGTTCAAATAGAATGAACCACATGTGTATCCGATCCTTTCAATATCATGAAAGGTTGAATATGTTATAATTGTATGCATGGAATGATGCAAAACACCAAAGAACTCATAATAAAAAAAATGCATAAATGCAATGTATTAATAAATTGAAGTCAAATGACAACTTTTTAAAAGTTATCTCAAAATAATCATGTATTTTGCAAATGCTAATAGTCAAATGCATTTACTTTTACTATTTTTTTCTTTATAATTTCCATGAGTTTTTATTTTTACCATTTTTTTTCTTTATAATTTTGACGAGATTTATTTTTTATTTATTATTATTATTATTTTTTTTTGTAATTTAACTGTACGTGTCTCTTAACTTTTTGTAAAATTATCATAAATACCCGTAAGGTTGTACGTGGAGTCGAAGTGAAGGTTTGGCACCGGTGACGTAGAGCTCGACTTGTTGAGGGTATACTAGGGCTGTTCATTATTTGGATAAACCGAATTGTCCAATTTAATAATTTGAATTTGACTATTTGGTTCAAATATTCAGATTTTTGGATTGTTTTCAACAAAACCGAATTATTATTTTGGATTGGTTTTGGTTTATAAAATAGGAACCGAATAACAATTTCTTATTTATGCATGTCTATAATTATTTATTAATTTAGTAATTTATTTTTGGAATAGATTCAAAATGTTTCACCTAATAAAAAACTTTAATATGCATTTTATCTAAAAAGTTTTTATTTATAAAATATTAAACTATAATATATCTATTTAGTAGTTGTTTATAAATTTTAAACCGTAACCAAATAATTTGTTTTTGTTTATTCTATAAAACTGACTGATATTTTAATTATATGTGGTTTTAAAATGTTCCGTTTTGAAACCGAATTATAAAAATCGATCCAATCGAATTGTAATTTGGTTGGATCGGATCGGATTTGAATTTAATTTGGACTATTTTAGATCAATGTTTTGAAAAACTGAAATCGATTTGAATTTAGGGATCGTTTGATAGTTGTTGACCGAGTTACTGCTGATTGAGTTAGTGCTGATTGGATTAGAACTTCTGATCGAGTCCACATCTGACTGAAACCATGTTGTTTGATTATATCTTTGACCAGTTGTGATGAATGATGCAAAATGACCATATTATCGCTTGATAGAAATTTCTTTATAGTACCAAAAATAATGAAGAATTTTATTCATGATTCCAGTAAAAGCAATGAACTTTGATGATACATATACATACGCAAAGTGAACATAATAAAAAAACACATGAATTATTTGTTTTAATCAAATTATGAAGCAAATTGGAACACCAACTTTGACTTTCAATTCAATATTTCACCTTTATTTGAATCATTCTCGACTCTTCTTCCTGATAAAAATAAAAGTTTAAAATCAACAATAAAAATCTTTTTAACAAGAATAACAACATATATTAATATAAAAAACTGCAAGACCATTTCTATGTTCATAAGGTTCTCCTGGTTCAACCTTTTTGGGTCCATTCAAGTTTCAATTGGCACCACTTGAGAGATAGAGATTAACATATATAGAATATATATCATGAAATCTGTGAATGGTTAATCTGTTGAGCAAGTTCGAACAACATAACATAATGCAACATGATACAAGATTTATTTAATCATAATACCAAATCTTTATATTTCCTTACATGTGAATTAAAGAGTCACATGGAATCTATCTCGGTGGGAATTCAAAGAGTCAAACAATTTTTTTTTATCTTTTCCATAAATGTGGCACTGGAAATGGTGGAAACGGAGCAACAATACACAAGTGTATCAACTGATAGCAAAAACCAAACAACAAAAAGGAGCAAAAATCGATCAGCAAAGAAATTACCCTAAATTCATATATATATTCATCAGAATTTCACACATAAAAATTATGAAAACCATTTATTGATGGAGATGTTTACCTATCACACTATGTATATAGATTTCAAAAATGATTTAGTGAAACCGATTTCATGAACCGATTAAAGAGGAAGATTAAAAACGTAAGAGGTTACCAGTGATTGAAGAAGTCCCCGATAGGAAGAATCATGATGAAGAAGGCGTCGACGATGGCAAAAGGGAGCTGCAAACCCGGTGAAGACAGAAGCAAGAGATAGAGAAACGATGGGATTGTCGTTCACGTCCTCACGATGTAGCGTAAAAAGAATCAGGGGTAAAGTGAGGAAATGTTCCGGTCAGCTTCCTTTTTACCGTGGACCGAATCAGCCAATTACCTAGGACCGAATCAGACTAATGGACTGGGTTTGACAGGATTAGCCCCTTTATCAAACAGGTTGACTGGAGCGAGTCAGCCAAAAGTGCTGACCGGACTAGTCAGCTGCGTATCAAACACTTGATTGGATCGGATCAAACCGAACGACCCATCCGAACACATCCTAAGAATACTACCCCCTCTTCACGAAAAGAGGCAAAAGTTGCTCAGCACAATTTTCACGAGTCTCTCCTCTTGGCACATTCTATTCTTGATTGATGTGGACAATATTTGGGAGGAGATAGGGTTCTACATAGTCGCCACCATTTCTTATAACCTAATAAAGATTTTTTTTACTCGTTACCCATCATGAAGTGCACATCACTAGGAAGAATAAATAAATGAAACCAGACAAATTTGTAAATAAACTAGAAAATTTGAAAAACGAATTTTTTTTTATTTTTTTTAAAAAACCGAGTATTTTACAAAATATATATATAAAAAAAAGTCGCAAATATCTTTAGATCATTTCGCAATAGTCTCTCGTTTTCGTTATTCTAGTGAAAGACACCTTTTTCTTTACTAAAACCAAAATAGTAAGTTTAAGACAAAGAAGGTTGTACACGGCAAATACAACTATTATTACACTACAATGGCGGAGACATATATAAAGTCGCCATCGCCACCACTGTTTACATGTCGGTGGGACTCCCTTCTCAAAATATTCCACCGAACCACCATTTTCTTTGACACTTCACAACTGCCCTCAACTCACTCATGTTCAGTCGTTTCAAGTAGCATCCTGCAAACGAGGAAGATTAGAGTTCACTTTTCAGGGCAAATATCTTTAATTAGGGTTTAAAAAGATTGTAATTTGGAAATCAATCAGACTGTGGGGTGTGTTTCTTGATCAATTGGGTGTGTTCACGACATGGGTTTGTGCTTTAAATTAGCTTAATTGATTTTACACGAAAGATTTCAGCCATGGCTTCTTGGAAGAACAGAGGTGGACCAGAGTCGAATTCAAGAAATTTGGTGTCGAGAAAATTGAGTATTTTTCTTTGCATCAGTTGCTTCTGTGCTGGAATGCTGTTCACCGACAGGTTTTGCACCAAAAAGATTTCTTATTTGAAAGTTGTATAATCATCTATTTTGCATAACATGTGTAGAAATTTGATGGGTATGTTCTCGATTTTGACCCTAAATTCCACAAATTTGAGTGTGGTTCACGAATCCTGAAATAAAAATTCATCTTTTTCTAATCTTTACCCAAAGTTTTGGGGTTTTGTGCAATCTTTTTGGCTTGCTTTTGATGATTACTTTTGAGAATTTCATGATATTGAATTACATCAAGAACTAATTTAAAATCTTGTGGTTATAGAATGTGGAAAGAGCCAGAAGCTAAAGGCATATCAAGATCAACCAGAAACGAAGCTGAAAATCTCAAATTTTTGGCAGAGGATTGCAATACAAAATCAGTGAGTAACTAATTACAATTTACATGAGCGTATCACTTGTTTTACTTCTAATTTTATACATTTCTCATACGAAATTTTTGGGATTTTTGGTTTTTGGTAGAATGATGTAAGAAGGGGTTCTAAATACAATATTGGGGAAGTTTCAAAAACGCACAACGCTGTCCAGTAAGCTTTTGATATTTACCTTTTCTTGTATAATTTATGTCTCTCAAAAAATAGTTATGGATTTCATATGATGGAAGATTCGAAGGTATAATTTAACAATATTCTAAATATTATTTAGTTATAATTCTATTATTATACTATATAACATTACCAATATTTTAAATAGGTCAAATCGAGCTATGGTCTTTGTTCTTTGTTTTAGTGAATTGCACATTTGGTCCCTGTAGTTTCAAATGACAAAAATGATCCCTGTGTAAAAAGAAAATACATAAATAGTTCATTGTTTCAAATAGACATAATGACAGAAGTTGTCCCTATGTGAGTAAAAATTACAGAAATGATCTTTGTGCAACAAAGTTACTGAAATGATCCCCATCTAAGATAAATTTACAGAAATGGTCCCTCTGTAAGAAATAAATGAATTTACTGAAATGGTCCCTATATAAGAGAAAGTTACAGAAATGGTCCCTTTGTAAGACAAAATTACAGAAATGGTCCCTGTGTGTAAGACAAACATAAAGAAATGGTCCCTGAGTAACAAAATTACAGATGGAATAAAAAACAGCTGCCTAATGAATGGAAGTAATAAAAAGGAAGGAGTCAATTGCCCATTCCATCATACAAAACAAACAACTTTTTCTAATTCCATTTCCATTCCATTTCTTCCTTGATTCCATCTTTACCAAACACCAACCTAAAAACTTATTGGATGCAGAACATTAGACAAAACAATTTCAAAGTTGAAGATGGAATTAGTAGCAGCAAGAGCAATGCAAGATTCCATAGTTACAGGATCTCCAATATCTGATGATTTGTCACTCCTTAATCCCATTAAAAAACGAAAATATTTTATGGTTATTGGGATTAATACAGCTTTTAGCAGCCGAAAAAGACGAGACTCTGTTCGTGCTACTTGGATGCCTCAAGGTTTTTATTTTTTTATTTTTTTTTTCACTTCATGCATATAAAAATATTATTTCAACTTTTTTATTGATTAAGTTCTTTTTGCATTATAAATTTAGGTGATAAACTCAAAAAGCTCGAGGAAGAAAAGGGTATTATTATGCGATTTGTGATAGGTCACAGGTAAACACAGTGTATCTAATAATCATATCAATCTTATTTACATGTAATTCATGTTTGATGAATTATTTTATTTTCAGTGCTACATCGGGTGGTATTCTTGATAGAGCTATTGAAGCAGAAGAAAAGAAGCATGGAGATTTTCTGAGGTTGGAGCATATTGAAGGGTACCTTGAATTATCTGCAAAAACAAAAAAGTACATAACTACAGCTGTTGCTCTGTGGGATGCGGATTTTTATGTCAAAGTTGATGATGATGTACATGTAAATATAGGTAATTTAGCTTTGTAAACGACAAATCATTAAAAGAAAACATAAGACTCACCTTCTTTGTTACAAAACATGTTTACTGTGTTTGACTTGCATTGGACTAATTGCTTTGGGACCATTGAGACCGGTCACATCACAGTCCAATGTATGTCAAACACGGTACAACTTGTTTTGTAACAAATAGGGTGAGTCTTATGTTTTTTTTAATGATTTGTCATTTACAAAGCTAAATTATTGTGTGAAGGTACACTTGGAGCAACGTTAAGTAGATATCAGTCAAAGCCTCGCGTGTATGTTGGCTGCATGAAATCGGGCCCCGTTCTTGCTCATAAGTAAGCCGAATCTCTTCTTTGAAACTAACTATTTATTGTTTTTTTTTTAGTTATATTACAAAGAATGATATGATTGTAATTATGGTTGTTTTGTGAATAGAGGAGTGAGATATCATGAACCCGAACACTGGAAATTTGGTGAAGAAGGAAACAAGTATTTTCGTCATGCTACAGGTCAACTATATGCAATCTCAAGAGATTTAGCTACTTATATTTCTATAAACCAGTAAGCCCATGTTTCTTTCTTTTTTATAAAGTGTTGTGTTTATAAATGATCATGATGTTAAAAAATTATTCTACAAAAAAACATGAAGAACTTGAGAAATTATTATGTAATCAATATTCTGGATCTCATTATTGGATCTTTTGGAATGTTGTAGACATGTTCTACACAAATATGCGAATGAGGATGTCTCAATTGGATCATGGTTTATTGGACTGGATGTGGAGCACATTGATGATAGGAGGTTGTGTTGTGGAACACCACCAGGTAATAATAATAATAATCATAAACGTTTTCTTGATAAAATGTTGTTTGGGTAAATGAGTTTTAAGAAATGTTTTAGGAAATAACGTCACATTTTGGGAAATGAAATGAAGGTATAAATCATAAATGCGTGCAAATTGGTAAAAGATTAGATGTTAATGGAAATGCATCATTTCCTTGACTTTTTTAATTGAAAAAAAAAAAAAAAAACACGTAGAAACGATGGTAAATAACAAATGTAAGGGAAATATAAACGTGGTTTATTTAAAAACTGTTATAGATCACAGTATATATTTTATTAAATATGTTCGAGCTGAAAAGGTTCTGCATTAGTTTTAATCTTAAAAAGTTATCAGACTTTACTTTTCAAATCTAATTATCGACAACATCTTTTTTGTCTGTTGAAAGTTATGTGGTTCAAAGTTGAATAATTACTAATGACTTGTCAACGTTTTTTTTGAATTGACGTTTTCTTTTTTTTTTTTAAATATTTTATACATTATATATGATTATAAAAAATATCTTGTGAAAACTATAATTTAATATTAGTAAAATGATTTTCGAGGTTGTAAGGATTTGAAACGTTAGATACATGTGTAGATAGATGACTTTAGATCCTTATTTGATAATTTGTATTTTAAACTGAGTTTGGGAAGCTTACTTATTTGACTTATTGATTCGTTAAAAATAAAATATAACCTTAATTGACCCATTAAGCCATTTTGTCCATATTAAGTGAAAAAAGAAACATGCATAGAAGTAAAGTGCTTAAGTAACTCATTAAGCCCATAGAAGTAAAAAAGAAAAAATTAAATTAATGTCCTATTAACAACACTTAAATGTTGTTGTAGATTGTGAATGGAAGGCTCAAGCAGGGAACGTATGTGTGGCATCATTTGATTGGAGTTGCAGCGGGATTTGCAGATCTGCTGATAGGATTAAAGATGTTCACAAGCGATGTGGGGAAGACGTGTCTGCTCTATGGAATACTTCCTTTTGAGACTTGTGACGTGATGTTTATACAGCTGTAAAGTTCTGAGATAAAGGTTGTAGACAGGGGTTCTGCTCTATTTTAGGTCAAGAGGAAAGGTACCCCCTGTTGGAGCAACTTAAAAATAGAATTAAAAGATGTTATTTTGTTATGAAAATTAGGAAAAAAATGTTCTTGAGTTTTGATACAAACACAAGTAGTAAGATGCGTGCAGCTCACTTCGATTTTTTAAATATATAACTTTGTTCTTTGCGGGTGTCCATGATCATAGGCTGTTTAATATGTCTCTTGCTGGATCTGGTAAGAGGTTGGGTTGGACTTGGTTTGATTCAGACCATTTGATATCACAATTAGAACCAATTGATCCGATCATAGACATTTTACCCCTGCCGCCTCAATCCCAAATTTTTGTCATGGTAAGGTTTCAATATTTATCTCTAATTCCCTAATTGGTGTATGGATAATCAATAAGGGAAATCTTTAGAAAAATCTTGAAGTTTTGATATTTGGTGGATGAGTTTATGATCTATAAATTAGTCCTAAATTAAAATTTATTAACGAAAAAAGGATAAGGATTGGCTATTGTAATCATTTTAACCTTTTTTTTACCTGTAATAACTTGTTGAGATGGCACCAAGTGGACTGCTTGGTGAGGTGGTGAGTCAAGTGGACTGTTGGTCTTACGTCATGTTGATGTGGCATGTTCTTTACAATTTAAAAAAAATTAGATTTTGGGAGAAAAAAATTAGATTTTAGGAGAAAATAAGGACATGGGACTCAAATCCTTAACCTTTAGTTCCTAAACCATAGACCTTACCATGTGAGTAAGTGAACTTATTATTATAATTTATTTAAGTTTAATGGTAACTAAGTGAACTTATTGTTATAATTTATTTAAGTTTGTTTATAAAGTGTTATAATTCGTCTTCCTCTCAAAATCAACCCATTAGGCCTGATCGATATACCTTCCAACCTCAATTTCCTTTCCTCCAACCATGCTAAAAAAAACTCGAATTCTTGCTCCCAGTTGGCCAAGTCGTCGTTGTAACTCTCTACACCTTAAAATCAAGAAGTTAAGTCTTGTCCCTCATTTACGATCGCAACCCATTCATCCCTTTCTCTCTTGATCGAGCAACACCTGCTTGATGTCGGCCACCGCTACAACAACATTCACCGGTTTCTTTTACATTGTCGGCCTCCTTAGTGACCGCCACCTTCATCATCGGCGACCTGCGACCTGTTGTCTTCGGGAGGAGAAATCGAGTTCCATCTATTGATTCCGTTAACTGCTTCGATTTCTCTTATGCCAACTTCCTCACAATGTCCAACAACTCCCATTTTCTTTAGGTATTATCGACTAATTTTGTGATGTGTTACTTAATTTAGGGCTATTGATTTTTGTACACCCACTTCAAGAAAAGTTCTTCACTTTGCTCATGCTCTATCAAGGAAACCGGTTAAAATCCATGTCCTTGCTTTTCCGATGGTGAAGATATAGTGTTGAAATATATATTCTCTTATTCAAACTTAACATTAATTAAGAAAAGGTAAGGTTTGTATTTTTTTTTTTACTATTCTATAGGGTGTATTGTGAAATGTAATGTGCAGGTGTGATCTTCGGGTTTACACGCGGACCCTATTCGGGTGTGGGTGCTCCATGGAGCTGCTTGCTCCGAGAGTATTTAACGTGTTAATCACGTTCAATTGCTAAGCTCTCTAGATATTTTTAGTGTTTTCTCTTTCTCTCTAGATTAGGGTTTCTGTAAGGGTTCGTTACAGAGCTTTAGATCTATAATAACTTGTTATCAAGTTTCTTGTTTGAGTGTAAGAGAGTTAATGTAGTGAGTTTTCTTTTGTATTTGTTTGATGTAAACCAACTATTTCATAGTGAATGAAATGTTGATGTTGGGAAATTGTTGAGTTTATCTTTTCGTACATGGTATTAGAGCTTAAGGCTCCTTCATCATGTTCGTCGGTGTCTTTCGAAGGATTACGACTCAGAACAACATTTTAAAAGGTTGTTTCTAACTCCTTTTCTTTTCTCAGGCTATTTCTGGTCGATCGATTTAGGGTTTTATCTCTTTTCTTTACGATCTCTATGATCCTGGTACTGTGAGAGTTTTTTGTGGTTCATTGCATGTGTTCGTGGCTGATACTTGTTCTGGTCGCTTGATAGTTGAACATCGATCACTTTTCTACTCTTCTTCAATCGATTAATCTGTTTAGTTTGAAATAACTCACTAGGGGTCGGATTTCATCACCGATAAACCCTACGTTGAGAATGGACAAACAGAGTCGATTCATCTTCGTCTCGTCCTTCAAAGCACTGTGAGGGTTTTCTTGTTCCCTATTTTCTCTTTTATATCTTGTGATCGGGAGATCCTGGTTGTTTTACATACACCAGTTGTTTTTTTTTTTTTTTTCCTTTGACTTTGTATTGATTGTCTTGGGCCCCGACAAACGTGGTGACCATCTGGACTCTAAGTCAATACATGAGTCTGATTTTGTACTTCTTGTTTTCCTGATTAATTGGTTGTTTCTATTGAGTCAGTCTTGGTTGCTTGAAAGATCATATTGTCTATTTGTTCTTTGTGTTGTTCTTATGGCTGGTCCTACTGAGTCTCCTGGTAGTAGTGGAAAGGATGATCAAGTTAATTTTAATGATCCTCTTTTTTTTCATCCTTCTGATAATTCTGTTGCTACTATTGTTACAATAAAATTAACTGGTAATGAGAATTTTAGATTATGGAAAACTTCTATGTCTAGAGCACTTAAGGCTAGAAATAAACTTGGTTTTTGTAGATGGTACTTTTCAGAAAACTAAGGTAGATGAGTCTAAAAGTTCTAAATGGGATAGAGCTAATGCTGTAGTTTGTTCTTGGCTTCTGTCATCTATATCTGATTCCATCTATCAGAGTCAAGCTTATTCTGATGTAGCTGAGGATATTTGGAACAGTCTTTTTGAAACCTATAATAAGTCAGATGGATCTGTTGTTTTTAATATTCATCAACAGATCAATACTTTAAAACAAAATGGAATTTCACTTTCAGACTACTTTAATAAACTTGACTCTCTTTGGAAGGAATTTGATGGTCTTACTAGTCTTACTGAGTGTACATGTGAAACATCTGTTAAATGTAAGGATCATTCTAATCTTATGAAACTTATGCAGTTTCTTAGGTGTTGTTTGGCTCGCAGAATGATGCTGAAGGAATTGGAATTGGAATTGGAAAAGGAATCTATCAGGAATTTGAATCCAATTCCATATGTTGTTTGGTTGGCAGGAAATGGAATTGGAATTAATTTCAGATTCTGTTTGGTTCGCAAGAAATGGAATTGGAATTCATGTAAAATGACATAATTACCCTTTTGCATGTTTTGCTTAATTTTCCCTTGTTTTCTAAATTATATAGTAAGATACATTATGAAAATTATAAAAACGGTAAAATTTTAGCGGTGGTGGCAGTAGTGGTGAGGGCAGTGACGGTGGTAGCGACGACAGTGGTGGGTGGCGACAACGGTGGTGGTGATGGTGGTGGTGGCATTGATTGCGGTGAAGAAAATGGTGTTGATGGTGGCAGTGGCAGCTGGTGGCGACAGCGACGGTGGTGATGGTGTTGGTGGTGGTAGTGGCGGCTAGTGGCGGTGGGTGGTGGCGGCGGAGGTAGTAGCGGTCGGTGGTGGCAGCGATGGTGGTAACGACGATGATGGTAGTGGTGGTGGCAGCGGAGGTAGTGATGGTGGTTGGTGGTGGCAGCGGCAGTGATGGTGGGTGGTGGTGGGAGCGATGGTGGTACTAGTGGTCGATAGCGGTGGTGACGGCGGTAGTGGTGGTGGTGGGTGGTGGTGGTGGCGTCGGAGGTAGTGGCGGTGGGTGGTGGTCATGACGGTGGGTGGTGGCAGTGGTGGTGGTCATGGCGGTGATGGTGGGTGGAAGTGGTGTCGGAGATAGTAGTGGTGGTGGCTGTGGTGGTGGTGGTGGCGGCGGTGGTAGTGGTGGTGGCGTCGGAGGTAGTGGCGGTGGGTGGTGGCAACGGCGGTGATGGTGAGCGGTGGTGGCGGCGATGGTGGTAGTCATGGCGGTGGTAGTGGTGGTGGTGGTGGCGGTGGTGGTGGTGGTGGTGGCGGTGGTGGTCAATGATAGTGATGGTGGTGGAGGCGGTAGTAGTGGTTGGTTTTTTGATCAGTAGAAAGGGTATTTTTGTAATCTGTCACTTTCCTTGATGAGAAGGAATGTTTTCCATCCAACTTTGGAAGGAATTCACTTTCCACCATATGGTGGAAAGTTTATTTCATTTAGGAATCCTTTTCCTTCCTCTAAGTCCAACCAAACGCATGAATTTGAGGGAATTTGAATCCTTTTCCCTCGAATTCCATTCATTTCCTGCCAACCAAACGCCCCCTTAGTGGTCTAAACGATTTCTATAGTCAAGTCAAGAGTCATATTCTTCTCATGGAACCTTTACCTAATGTCAAAACTACTTTTTTCATATTATCTAGAGAAGAGTCACTTCAAAGAAATAGTTCTTTGTCTTCTCTTCAGACCTCTAAGTCTCAGCCTACTGCTTTCAATAGTAGGTTTAATAATAAATTTAACTCAAACAACTCTAATAAGAGTAAAAATCAAGTTGTTCAATGTAAAAATTGTGGTATTAAAGGTCATTCAATTGAGAAATGCTATAAGATAATTGGGTATCCAAAAGATTTTAAACAAAAAATTGAGTCAAACAGTCAAAGGGTTTTTATGCTAATTCTGTGACCACCACTTCTGTGGGTTCTAATACTCCTGTCTTAGCTAATCCTGTTGGAGATTCTGAGTTTCATCAGCTTACTAAGGAACAATACATCAAGTTTTTGCAATTAATAAATGATAAACAAATCTGTGAGGAAGCACCTACAAGTGCTAACATGGCAGGTACTTGCTTGTTTCAAGCTTTTAATTCTTCTTTTGATTATCAAAAATGGATTGTTGATTCTAGAGCCAATCAACATATGATTGCTTCTGAATCATTTCTTCATGACACTGGGGATGTGTCTAAATTGAATATTCTTGTAAGTCACCCTAATGACACTTCTGCTAAGATTGAAAAGATTGGTAATATGAACATATCTTATTCTTTAACTTTGTTTGATGTTTTTGCTGTACCAGATTTTAATGTGAACTTGTTGTCTATCCATAAAGTTTGTAAAGATAGTAGTTGTGAGGTCATTTTTAATGAGCATAGTTGTAAAATTCAGGGTTTACAATCAAAGGA